CAGTGGCGGACTCTTACCTCGCCGAAGGCCCCTCGCCCGATCACCTTCAGCATCTCGAAGTCGTCCCTGTGCAGCCGCATCTCCTTCACGACGGTGGTGAACGGCTTCACTGCAAACAGGAGAGACAAGCGCGTTGGACTGTGTGATCGCCGACACCCCACCCCCCCCAACAGGAACTTATTCAACATATAAACTGACTCCAGCGGACACCCTTTACAAAAAGCAAGGAAAAGGGACACCTTGGGAATTAAAATAACTCCAGAAAAGGAAAAAGAAAAACTATTAATTTCACTCAATAATGTGGTCCAGCCCCAGAAGAATATCAATAAATCTGTCACAATCGGCACCATTCAGAACAGGAGGCTTCAAAAAATCTGCGGTGATAATTTTCTGGGTAAAAGATGTGCAATACGGCGCCTGATCACAATCGCACAGTACTCCAGGACGGGATGAATACATGGTATTCTGCCTTTTTTTTATAATTAGACAAGCTGCTGCTCGTCTTTGTGGCTTAAATAAATTAGCATAACGAAACGATTTCCCAAATAAAATACAATTTTGCAGTCTTAAGGGCAGTGACAGTTAACTACAGCTACAGAACAAAAGACCACCAGGGCTGCATAATAATCTGGCCCTCCCTCTCCTGGCAGCTGGAAATCAGTCCAGGCAGGCCAGCCTTTCATCACAGCTCACCTAGATAAAAGGAGAAAATACGTACTTTGACCATCTGCTGCTTTAAAGGGAAAAAGGTAGCCTTTTGGATTTTGGAACAAGAGGCGTGTTTGTGACTAAACTAGACCACGTCTCTTCTTTGTCACTGTTTCCACAAGACTGGCTCTGGTGCTGAACTTTGGATCACTAGAGTAAAACGAAACCACAAGGAGCAGTTTCTGATCAAAGAAAGTCTCTTGGTGTAACGGTCTTTAAAAAGACATTTTCCTTTTATGTGCATCTGAAATGCGTTTCTCACTCTGTGTGTGCTATATTAAGTGACTGGCTCCATTAGGGTCAAAAACATTGTCAAGGAATGCATCTAATTATTTTTTTTTTAACGGAGAGCAGGTCTGGGACTTTTGTAAGACAGTTGTACATTCTCATATATCTGTGTGTTTTTAACCAAACCATTTGATCAAGCCTGTGCAAACTAAAACTAACTGAATAAAGCAGGTACAGTAGCGAAAGGGGTAGATGTGTTGTGCCATCTCTCGTCGCTAATGGCACACAGGTTATTAGACAACAGCGTCGCCACCTCCTAGCCCGACCCGGTAGACCTCAGACGCAGGAAAGGTTGGGCCTGGGGTAGAACTGTGCAGGGCATTGGGAAGGGACACATCTGTGCTGCTGTTGTAGGTGCTTTTGATGGACCAGTAGGTGGCGCTCTGACTCTGAACCAGCACCTCCACGCTAGCGTCCCAGTGTGGTGACCAATGTCGCTGAGCCTTGCTGCACTTCAGCGGTGGGGTCCCTCCTAGGCGTAAAACCCCATATACATGAAAGTCTTCTAAAAAATTACTGAAAAAGCACCTTGTCACCAGGAAGGAGCACGTGTCTTCCACTGATAGTGAGGTAGGACTGCAGGGTCCTGCAGGATGTGAGTTAAGGGCAATAACTACCCAGCTGTGCCCCGGTCTCCGACACTCAGCAGTCTGGCTGCACTCCAGCTCAGGTGAGGAGGAGGAGGAGGGGTTGAGAAGGCAGCCACACAAAAAGCAGGCAGCCTGCCAGGCCTGCTTTGGTAGCCGAACCGTGCTCTTTACCATATGAGGGCAAAAAAAAAAAAAGATTATGTGCTCCACACCGTGCGCTTCAAAACCATACACAGAAGTATTTATCTTTCGCCAGCCTTACTTTAAACACTGCCTCTCTGCCTGGATCATAAACCTGCATCACCCCCCTTTTTTATACAAGACAAAACGCTTCATGCATAAACTAAATGTCCAAGGTCTCATCTCTTCTTACCAATACTTCACACACCCTAAGCAATGTGGGCATACTGGGACAGATTTCAAGCTTTCTGATAAACTGCACTACGATTAACGCGCTATACCGCCCACTACAGCACATGGGCACTGAACACTGCACAGGGATAGCACCCAGAAAATGCGGTTATTACAAAAATCATTCGTTTTTTTTTAATCTTTTGGATAAAAACTGAACTCTGTACATAACATTCACAAGTTCAATAATTAGGGTAAAAAAATGACCATGCATGCCAAGGTAACTGGCTTACACACGATTAAGAAAAAAAATCATGTCTTCCACCCGTCGCCAGAGGTCTACAATCGCCGCGGCACAGGGACCGATGGGACAGTCTGAAGTGCGGCGCCGTCCGGTGAAGAACAGCTCCGCAGTGCGGTCTGTGCCAGTCAAGCGCAGACCGCCCGCGGGACACCTGAACACACACTGCAGCGCCCAGCCAGAGCGCCGCCGGGCACCCCGAACCCCGGCGTGACCCCAGCTGGCAATAAGAGGCTGCCTGAGCCGGGCAATAGTCATGGCATGCTCAAGTCTCAAACTGCTAGGCCACAGCCTGGGTTCAGGAACGGCAGTGACAGCCCAAATACTGCTCTGGTTAACACAAGGGCCGCAGTGGAAGATCACGGGCGCTGGCGTCTCTCAGACGCCGCGTGGGTCAGAGTGTCGGGCGGGACGAGACGCAGGAGAGCTTCGGGGTTCAGCGAGGAAGCGGTGAAGCCCTGTGAGCCCACGACCCGGGGTCTCGCTCCCAACGCGGCTCCACACCCCCCCCCCTCGGCTGCCCGACTTGAAGCAGTCAGCCGTGCCGGCGAGGGATCTCGGACCCGGGTCCTGGCCTGTGCCGTTCCAGCTGCCGGCGGGGGCGCCGAGTTGAGATTAGCGACCCCCGTAACGGATAAAAGATCAATGGGATCTAGTCGGGTCACCAGAAAGGCTCTGTCCCTGTTCTCTGTGCGGTCAAGTAGGAGCAGTGACTGACTATCCCCGCGGCGCAGCAGAGTTTGGCGGGCCTCTCCTCTCCAGTCGCCAGTGCCGCCTCTCCACTGTCCCCCGCGACTGTTCACTCGCCTGGTTGTTTTCCTCGAGCCCAGTAGTTTGTCGTTCCCCTGATCCTAAAGTCAGCTGAATGGAGAACAACTGCCTTTCCACCCCCCCATTCGCGTGCGTGGTCAACTGGTTTTTCCTGTAAGTCTGAAGAACAGGACCTGGGCTTGCTCATGCACGCAGTCATGCTGTGAGGGTAACCAGCGTGTCTCCCATTTCCCTTTCGGCGGTTCTTCGTCCTGCCTGAAACGCCCTGTGATTTAGCAGTTTACATATAAAATTGAGCATAATGGCCTATAATAGCCTTGGGTATTTCCTGCTGTTCTTCACTGCTGCTCAGCAGACGTAGAGCCTCTAACTCACCACCGGGACTGATGACATGCCTCCTCTAAGTGCTCGTTCACCTCCGCTCTGATGCGTTAACACCTGCAAGGATTTTATTAGTGAGGCCACTGGAAATAGAGTGGATCTTGCTTCATTACAGCGACACGTTGCGCCAAAAAGGGTCATATTGAGGCCATAACATACTTGACATACTGAAGGATTTTTCAGCCTTCAACTACAGTAATTACAGTAATAGTTTTAGACTTCTCCGTTAGGTTCTGTTATTTTGCTAGATGGTAAATGACACCCCCTAAGTTGTGTGGGTTATTTAAGACAGTTTTAAGCCTTGAAGCAGTCAGCCGTGCCAGCGAGGGATGAGAATACAGGATCAGTGACAGGGTGCCCATATTAAACAGACCCAGTTCAGTGCCACACCCTTGGGCGAGCAGGGCCTCATGACCACACAGGAACAAGTAAAGGCTTTTTCCAAGCTGAAAGGAGAAGAAAAGAAACTGTTTGGGCTGGTGAGCCTTCTTCGGGTGATCGCAACTCAGCGCCACTTTAGAATCAGGGGAACAACAAACAACAAGACACCCGCAGAAGGCTCCACAGCCGAAACGTCGTTTCTTTTCAGCATGGAATAGACCTTTACTTGTTCCTTTGCAGCCTACGCATGCTGACGCAGCTCCTTACTTGAAGAACTCATGTCCACTCTGCCTGCCCACCTGACATTTCGGACAAGGCCACTGCAAGGCCCCTGTGTCTGGAGTATTCTGCCTATAAAAATAATTTCAACTGGAAACATATTTTGAACAGCGAAAAGTCCTCTCTTCCTATGTATGGCAACAGGCATTTAAATTTAGTATTCCTGAAGTGGCACATTGTTACTCCCCAGATATGACTGGGATTAAAGCAACCTGTAGATGCTTAAACTCCCATAACTACAAAGCAAGATCAGCTAAAACTACACAGACTCCATTTTGTACTTAACAGCTTACCAATAGCCGAGCTGGTCTGCATCTTTGTGAAAGCACTTCACATATTTTAATGATAACCACTTCCCCTTGACTACTCCCTTTTGAATTAATATCAATCTATTCAGTTTGATTAGTTTGAACAGTTTGGTGACCGCAAACTGGTCTCCCGCAAACTGGCTTGCCTGAACGAAGGAACCTGCTTTAAAAGTTTATGAATATGGCCCAAGCGAGAGAAAGAACTTAAAGAGCCCCCTCCTGCCCCCCCCCCCCGCAGGAACCCAAGTCCTGCTTCCTGTTTCTTCAGACTTGCCCTCTCTTTCACATGTCTGGCAGGGTTTGCTGAAATCAAACCTCGAAATCAGAGGGCGCAGGTCCCGAAGTGATGACCAATCAGATGTGGCAAAACCACGCGGCTTTGTCGGCAACCAATCAGGTGCAGCAGGTCAGCGACCAATCAGGCGCAGCAAATTGCAGCTCGTCAGCAACCCATCAGGTGCAGCTAATTGTGACCTGGCACATCAACAGCCAGTCACAGCACAAGGAGACTACTGGGGGGAGTGGGAGAGGGGATTTTAGAGTGCTGGCAATGGACAGGTTTTTTCAAGTTGTATAGCACTGTTACTCAGACATCAATACAATCACATCTGCTTGGAATTTTCCCCACACAGCAGACAGAATATTTGCAGTAGTGCCTTAAAATTAGGTAGAATCTCACAATCCCAAACCAAAACGTAAGCCATGCTGGAAGAGAAAACCGGAAGCTCAAGTCTGCTGGGCTCTGCTAACT